GGAAAGGAGGGGAGGAAGGAGGGGTGGTAGGGGAGGGGAAAAGAAGGAGGAGAGGGGTGGGAAAGAGAGGGGAGGGAAGGGGAGAGTATGGGAGGAGGAGGACAGGGAGGGGAGAAGAAGGACAGGGGAGAAGAAAGAGAAGGGTGGGGGAGGGTTGGGATGAGCTAAAACAACCCCACGGAATATTAAAAAAAAAAATCGTATATTCTATTCGTTTAGAGGGGAGAGGCAACGTCCCATTTTTCCGTCTCGTGTTTTACTGCCCCGATGGTAAATATACTAAATGATTAAATATAGGTGTAATTATTTACTTACCTTGTGTAAAACTGTACTGAGCAAAGATGGAGAGCTGCGAGTGCCCTCCTCTGTCTGTCTGTCTCTTATATCTCAGCTACCTGTCTACCTATTCCCCCCCCCTCTCTCTCTCTGTCACCTATCTATCAAACTACCCATTGCCCCCGTGTCTCTCTCTCTCTCTCTCTCACTCTCTCTCTCTCCTCCCTTTCCTCTCTCCTTTTCCCTCCCCGTCGTCGCCTTTTCCCCATCTTTGTCTCTTTTGCCTCTACCAGCGTCTCTTCGGCTTTCTCCGTCTCTTCTCTACGTTCTTCAATCTTTCAGTTTTCTATTCCATACCCTCATTTATCTTCTTCCTTCATCCTCTTACCATCTCCTTCCCTTTATCTCTTTTTCCTTTATAATTCCCCCTCCTACTTCCTCCTCCTCTCCTACACACTTCTCCCTCCCTCCCCCTCAATCCCTACACATCTACTCCCCCCACCCCACTCTACCTCTACTGTACACGCTCTCCTCTTCCCCCACCCCCTCTCATCTCCTCCCTCCTTCTCCCTCCTTCCTCTACACGTCTCCCTCCTCCTCTTCTCCTTCTTCCCGAGAGCTCACTGGGTGTTTGTGGTTTATGGAAAGAAAGAAAACGCAAAAAAAAAAAAGATGAATTGTGAAACGAGGAAGCAATGATTAAAAATATGCAAATTGGAGGCCCGATATGCTGGTAATTAGATTTCCAAAGTCCAAAAGCAATCATTAGCATTCGCCTTATTTTTTACAACAAGATGAAATAAAACGAAATTAGGCATTTAGTACCTCGGCGTGTTGGCAACAAATAGAGAGGCTCACAGAGGGAAAATTTTACCCTCAAACTTGGTGTGATGAGACTCACTAAATTCCGACAGAGTGGACAAAAGTGGTTCTCCCTTTACCACCTACAACATTTCTCTCTCCTCCACCCTTATCCCTTACCTCCTCACCAGCTCTCTCTCACCTCCGTCTCCCCTTATCCCAATTCATTTACCACTACCTCCTCATTTCCCTTAACCCTATCCCTTAGCATATCTCTCCCCTTTCCCCCCCCCCGGCTTCCCTTAACACAATCTCCTACTTCCTCACCCCCCTTTCTCTCCCGTCTTTTTTTTTGGAGTGTGTGTGTGTGTGTGTGTGTGTGTGTGTGTGTGTGTGTGTGTGTGTGTGTGTGTGTGTGTGTGTGTGTGTGTGTGTGTGTGTGTGTGTGTGAGGGAAGGAAACATTGTCTCGTTAACGATTCTCTTCATTAGTGAATGTATAAAATAAATTCCTGTAGTTGTCAAGAAGATTAGGAACCCCAGTTTATTTCACCGGATGATTTAATACCCTAAGGCTAACCTAACCTAGCCTAGCCTAACCTAACCTAACCTAATCTAACCTAACCTAACCTAACCTAACCTAACCTAACCTAGCCTAACCTAACCTAACCTAACTCTCAAGGGGTTAAGTCATCGTAATCAAGGAGTTAAGTCAACGTACTCAAGAGGTAAAGTCATCGTACTGAAGGGGTTAAGTCATACTCAAGGGGTTAAGTCATACTCAAGGTATTAAGTCATCGTACTCAAGGTATTAAGTCATTGTACTGAAGGGGTTAAGTCGTATTCAAGGTATTAAGTCATCGTACTCAAGGTATTAAGTCATCGTACTCAAGGTATTAAATCATCGTGCTCAAGGGGTTAAGTCATCGTACTCAAGGTATTAAGTCATCGTACTCAAGGTATTAAGTTATCGTACTCAAGGTATTAAGTTATCGTACTCAAGGTATTAAGTCATCGTACTCAAGGGGTTAAGTCATCGTACTCAACTCAAGGTATTAAGTCATCGTACTCAAGGGGTTAAGTCATCGTACTCAAGTCATCGTACTCAATTAAGTCATCGTACTCAAGGTATTAAGTCATCGTACTCAAGAGGTTAAGTCATCGTACTCAAGGTATTAAGTCATCGTACTCAAGGGGTTAAGTCATCGTACTCAAGGTATTAAGTCATCGTACTCAAGGGGTTAAGTCATCGTACTCAAGGTATTAAGTCATCGTACTCAAGAGGTTAAGTCATCGTACTCAAGAGGTTAAGTCATCGTACTCAAGGTATTAAGTCATCGTACTCAAGGGGTTAAGTCATCGTACTCAAGAGGTTAAGTCATCGTACTCAAGGGGTTAAGTCATCGTACTCAAAGGACTAAGTCATACTCAAGGGACTAAATCTAAAGAATAAAATGATAACTTTTATAAATCATATGTAATTAATATTTATTAGTACCATGCCGCCATTATCACCATATATATAAATTTAATAAAGGTGGAACGTGTTGAGAATATTCTACAGCTTCTCTCAGGTACAGCAGAGGGAGGGAGGAGGGAGAGGAGGAGGGAGGGAGGGAGGGAGGGAGGGGAGTGGAGAGGGGAGGAGAGGAGGGAGAAGGAGGGAGGGAGGGAGGGAGGGGGTGGAGGGAGGGCAGGAGGGAGGGAGGGAGGAGGAGGGAGGAGGGAGGGAGGGAGGGAGGAGGGAGGAGGGAGGGAGGGAGGAGGGAGGGAGGGGAAGGAGGAGGGAGAGGAGGAGGGAAGGAGGGAGGGAGGGAGGGAGGGAGGAGGGAGGAGGGAGGGAGGGAGGGAGGGAAGGAGGGAGAAGGGAGAGAATCAAGGGCAACAGAAACACTCCCTGCCACTCATCTTGTCAAGCTGATGTGACGCTTGTGTGAGATGTTATGGTATACAGTATATGTACAGGTATGTATGTATGTATGTATGTATGTGTATATGTACGTACGTGTGTATGTATGTATGTATGTATGTATGTATGTATGTATGTATGTATGTATGTATGTATGTATGTGTATGTGTATGTATGTATATGTATGTATGTATGTGTATGTATGTTTGTATGTATGTATGTATGTGTATGTGTATGTATGTATATGTATGTATGTACATTATGTTAGTCACCCCCAAAAAATCCTACACAGGTTATTATCGCACAGTGAAACTCCTGGGGGGTAAAAAATCCTACGCGACTGGGGAACACCTTGGCTCCTTACACTGGTCTAATCCCCAGCTCCATCCTCGACCAGTGAGAGTACTGTGTGTGGGGGGGGGGGGACCTGCCTCCCTCATCTACCTGGCTGGCTCTACCTTGACACGTCTCGATTTAATATTTTTTCAATACCTGTGTGAGAGGAGGAGGGTCTTCTTCCTTTGCTTTTCCTTCCTCCTCCTCATTCATCAAATTCTCACGCCCATATATATATATATATATATATATATATATATATATATATATATATATATATATATATATATATATATATATATATATATCTGCCAGTAAAATCATACGGGAAAAGAGGAAACAACGGAGCACCTTAAGCTTTCGTCTTTATTCAAGACATCTTCAGAGGCAACTGAAGATGTGGCGGAATAAGGCAGAGTGCGTCCCTTTCCCATGTGTTATCAAGACTATCTTATCCACGTTTTCATTGTGGATCTACACAGTATATATATATATATATATATATATATATATATATATATATATATATATATATATATATATATATATATATATATATATATATATATATATATATATATATATATTTCCGGGAAGCTAATCATGATATTTATGCCTCTATTAATTAATGTTCACGTACTGTTTTCTACTCCGTTCATATGTGCTCTTACACCTGAGCCTTAAGCAGGTTCTATCAATGGAAACTAATTAGCAGGTGAGATGAGGTGCTTTGGGTTACTCTACACCTCTTCATTATTTGATTTATTTTCATTATATCCTGCAGTTGTAAAATAATATTAAGAGTTAAGTGGTTGTCTAACATGATATCCGAAGCTGGGGATGTAAAAATTAACATGATAACCCCTTTGATAACGTAGATATCTTATAGAAAATAAGAATAAGTTAAAAGTTATCGGTGACACTACCATATCGCCTGACCCCCTCCCCCCGAACCCCGTGCCATATTCACCTGGCGTAACTCGACTAATCACAAGCTTGCTTTTATTAGGTCCAGTTGCAAGGTTAAGTTAGGTTAGTTAGTGTTCACACCATAACAGTTGCAGGTTATTAACTAACATATATCAACAAAAATACTGTTATAAGTAAACAAAACTTACTCCTTCTCAATAAGATTTACTCAGCCAAGCCTTTTTGTGTGTGTGTGTGTGTGTGTGTGTGTGTGTGTGTGTGTGTGTGCGCGCGCGCTTGTGATAATAGTGATGGGACGGTCATGTAGTTAATCATAACAAACTATATATGAATTGTTTCGTGTCTAACCTAACCTTACCTGACCTGACTTGACCTAACCTGACCTGACCTAACCTAACTTTGTCTAAACTAATCTAGGTGCAGCTTTGTTAGGTTGCGACAATAAACGACGCCATGAATTAAATTGAGCAAATCTTACGTTCTATGAAATAATTTAGGTTAATTTATGAGAATAAAAAAAGTTATCGCAATTTTAAAGAAAACGTCAACTGCATTTTGAATATATATATATATATATATATATATATATATATATATATATATATATATATATATATATATATATATATATATATATATATATATATATATATATATATATAACATTATCAGCGTGCGTCACACATTACAATAGTGAAAATAACAATAACCTCCTTAACCCGCCAGCGATCGTTACTGAAGTGAGACAATCAATGAAGAGACAATGGCAGGTGTGAGAGAGATGACGGAGGCGGTGCTGGGGACTGCCGCCCCCTGAGGCGGTGCTGGGGACTGCCGCCCCCTGAGGCGGTGCTGGGGACTGCCGCCCCTGAGGCGGTGCTGGGGACTGCCGCCCCCTGAGGCGGTGCTGGGGACTGCCGCCCCCTGAGGCGGTGCTGGGGACTGCCGCCCCCTGAGGCGGTGCTGTTGACTGCTGCCACCTGAGGCGGTGCTGGGGACTGCCGCCCCCTGAGGCGGCTGCTAGGTATTGCCGCTACCTGAGGCGGTGCTGGGGACTGCCGCAACCTGAGGCGGTGGGGAGTAAGGTGGAGGTGGGGAGATACAAGGTGGAGTGGGGAAAGGAGATTGAAGAGACGGTTGTTTGCTGGGCTGGAAGGGAACAGGGAGGACGTCAGTGTTTACTTAAATAAGGGAGTGTAAGGATCACCAGAATGTCTGAGTGTGAGAGTGTTGGGAATGTGAGAGTGTGAGGGAGTGCAGGGAATGTGAGGGAGTGTTGGGAGTGTGAGGGAGTGTTGGGAGTGTGAGAGAGTGTTGGGAGTGTGAGGGAGTGCAGGGAATGTGAGGGAGTGTTGGGAGTGTGAGAGAGTGTTGGGAGTGTGAGGGAGTGTTGGGAGTGTAATTGAGATATACAGTGGGATGGAAGGGACACACCGTGGGATGGAAGGGACATAATGGGATGGACATAATAGTTAACTGTAGCCTAAGGTCAGCTGGGAAGGGTAGGAGGGAGGGAGGGAGGGCGGGTCATCACAGCCTCACCAACGAGACCATTGTGTAGTCTGGCCCGGCCCACAAGACAACGAGATGGCCATCGGTAATCACTTGGCCGAGTCTTGGCCACATTTTACCTATTGTTGTTATTTAATTTGGCCGTAAGAGGGTTTTAAAGACTTTGTTCTCTCTTGAAGGAATTTACTTTGTTGTTAATGAATAAGAAGAACGATCAATAGAGATAACATAAGAGGGAACTATAACATTACCATACATACATATATAATAATAATGGTTGCCTCTCGTGTAACGAGGATGGCCGGCCCTAGGGCCACCAAGGCTTGAATTTGTTTAAGGTGTAGAAGCTGTCGCCAACACAACAACCACACCCTAAGTGAACGAGCTGCATGACCCAGTGTCAAGGAATAGTCCGAGAAGACCGGACAACTCGCCAACTGCACTGGCTAACCATTATCCCGGAATACGAACCGCAAATCGCTTATCACCCAAATTCCCAATTACTGCTGGGTAGACAGAGGCAAATGGCGTAAAGAAACTTGCCCATAGTTTCACCCTGCCCGGGGATTGAACCCGTGTCCGCTCGCTTGCGAGGCGAGCATGCTGACCATTACACCACAGGTCGCCACATACATACATACATACATACATACATACATACATACATACGATAGTCTTGCTGCTTAAGTACACAAGTGGTGTTTTATCAGGTATGAACCATAATATCTCTTCAAACTTTCCCCAAACAAACGTAAATAAATTTGACAGTGAAAACCAAACACTACAACACAACACCTTAACATCAACCACACACACACACACACACACCTGTTAACACTACATCGTAATCCAAAAATAAATAAAAGGCAAGTTATTTAGCTCAGGTAACAGGAGTCTGATTAGCGAATGATACAAACATTTTCTCATTTCAATCCGAATAGTTGTTATGTTGGTAAATAGCCCCGGATATCATGGAGTCATTTTAACCTGCCTGTGAGGATGTTGGTAGAAGGCCACAGTCTGTATATCTTTACCTGCCTCCACAACACTTACCCTACCATTAAGGCTCAAGATCCCTACTACCTCTCACCCTCCTGACGACCATCGGCGCGTGTAAACAAAACCACCGTGGGAATGTTTGTTATTGTAATTGGGGTCAGTATGTAACAAAGTAATTACGACCACAGCAATGATTCTGATTGTGATTTTAGCAATTTTGTGCAACGTGGCCAACAAAAAAAGAAGGTTTAATTTAGCTTTTGCCAGGCCAATAGACGCCATTAAAACTCTTTACGTGGTAACACTGAAGTTTGGTCATTAAAATCCTGTTGTACTTGGTAACACTTACGTTCAGGCGTAACTCTTCAAGGTAAATGATACGTTCAGTAATGACTAAAGTAAAAATATAATGCTTCGAAACCCTCTTGCTTGGTCTCTACTTTCAGAAACCGCTGTAATTAAACTGTATTTAAGCTTACCTTTCAGAGACCGCTGTATTCAAACAAAACTTTCAGAAACCTGTACTCACAGTTCATGTTTAGAAACCACTTTACTCCATGTTCAGAAACCAATATGACAAGTCCGCATATCTAGAAACCTCTGTACGGTCTTCACGTTTTAGAAACCCCCTTGTACTCAGACGTCGTGTTCTGAGACCACTACACACAATCACAAGTCGCCTGAGATCCAGAAACCATAGCACGGAAATTTTACTCTAGAAAACATATACTAGAATTTCATCTTTAGAAACCAAATGACGTGCCTTTACGTTAAGAAACCAAGTGTTGTATCTTTATGTATATCACAACATTTGAGGTTTCATGTTTAGAGAACCACCGGACTAAATATTAACACATAAAAACCGTTAATAAGACTTAGAAAACAAACAGCTGTCGAAATTTGTAATACACACACACACACACACACACAATTGCTTCTGCATGTAATCCCTTCTCCCCACCTCATCTCCCCACCCTCTCTTTACCTCCCCACTGTTTCCTTAACTCCCTACCCTTTCCTGACCTTCCCATCCTTCTTTATGTCCCCTCCCCTCCTTACCTCCCTCTCATCACCCTCATCTCCCCGGTCCTTACCTCCCCAACCCCTTCCTCACTTTCCTGACCTCTTCCTTACGTCCCATACCCTTCCTCACCCCGTTCGTTACCTCCCCAGCCCCTTCCTTACCTCCCCAGCTCCTTCCCCTACCCATCCCCTTCCCTCACCTCCCCAGCCCACCCCCTGAGGAAGATGTTGACTCACCTAACACTCAATCTGCTTATCACCGCCTGAGTACTGCGCCCTACGAGGTTTGAATAATATCATTTGCATGAGCGCACCAACAAAAATGGTTCCACAAGCGCGTCCTGTAGAGCCCCGCTGACGCCCTGGGTGATGATGATGATGTGATCTGGTAATCATTTCTGACGGCCGGTTGTCTTGTTAGTTTCCTTATCCGGAATTTTTGTTTCTCGTCCCGATTAAACGAATAACTGACTGTCTTGATTCTATTCTTATTCGGATTCTTTTTCTCTCGATTAACCGAATAACCTGCTACCTATTAATTACGTGATTATTTTCCGCCAAGCAGTCAAGGTGTTATCTTCATGTCTGAGGGTTGGTGACCACGGCCCCCCACTCTGAGGGTTGGTGACCACGGCCCATCACCACTCTGAGGGTTGGTGACCACGACCTACCACTCTGAGGGTTGGTGACCATGGCCCACCACCACTCTGAGGGTTGGTGACCATGGCCCACCACCACTCTGAGGGTTGGTGACCACGACCTACCACTCTGAGGGTTGGTGACCATGGCCCACCACCACTCTGAGGGTTGGTGACCACGACCTACCGCTCTGAGGGTTGGTGACCATGGCCCACCACCACTCAGAGGGTTGGCGACTACGACCCACGACTCCAAACGTATCCTGCCAGAAGGTTCACATTCGCTGAGAGTGAGAATGATGTTACTGAGGATGATTATAAAGGACGGGGGAGGAGAAAGAATCAATGAAACTCGGATTAAATGAAGTATCGTTAGAGACAATGAACACAGCTGAAGGGCCACAGTTCACACGATGATCCAGCACCGTGAATTTGGACAGTGCCATCGCCGGGTAGGGGGAACGGAGGAGGTGCCACGGGTGGAGGGGGGGGGGTGCCAGCAATAGCAAATAAGTGGCCGGCACACTAGTGTTCCTTTAACGACCAGGGAGCCAGATCAAGGGCATGACCTGACGATAGTTCAAAGACACCAAAGAAACGAGAACCAGGCGGGGAACGTGCCTGATTGGCCAAGCGGTTGTGTTGCCTCGACCAATCCCTTGTCGACGGTAGCGCCAGGGTCCACCCGGAGCAATTACCCACACACACACACACACACACACACACACACACACACACACACACACACACACACACACACACACTATCTATATATCTTCGATTTGGTATTTTCTTAACATATTTTAATCCCAATTTAAAATAATATACAAAATCCGTAACACAAAAAATATATATATATACTTAAGAGTCAAACTTTTAAGTCTATTTCATATACGATATTAAGGCGATAATAACACGACTCTGGGGGGAGTTACGTCTAGAGGGCGATGATGATAACTACACGAGTACATAAAGACGGCAGCGGAAAAAATGACGCAGAGAGACAATGGAGAGTAATGAAAGAGCCATATACCACAGAGGGGGAGGAGGAGAGGGAAGGTGAGAGGGAGGAAGAGGTGAGAGGGAGGAGAGGGAAGGTGAGAGGGAGGAAGAGAGAGAGGAGAGGGAGGGAAGGTGAGAGGGAGGAAGAGGGAGAGAGGGAAGGTGAGAGGGAGGAGAGAGGTGGGAGAGGGAGAGAGGGAGAGAGGGAGAGAGGGAGGAGAGAGGGAGAGAGAGGAGAGAGAGGGAGAAAGGTGAGAGGGAGGAAGATAGGAGGAATAAGAGGAGAGAGTGGAAGGTGAGAGGGAGGAAGAGGAGAGGAAGGGAGGGGAATAGGAGAAGGAGGAAGAGGAAGAGGAGGAGAGGAGGAGAGGGAAGGGGAGGAGAGGAAGAAGAGGAGGGGAGGAGGATGAAGGGGTAGAAGAGAAAGCAGAGAAGAAAGAGGATGGGGAGGAGAGGAGGGGGAATAGGAGAAAGAAGAGGAGAAGAAAGGGAAGAGGAAGAGGATGATAATAATGATGATATGGAGGGAGAGGGGGTGGGTGGGTGGGTGGGTGGTGGGTGGGTGGGTGGGTGGGTGGGTAGATAGGTAGTATTCTTTACACACCCACAACGTAATTATAAACTCATATACCAAGGCTGACAGCACCACTACCACCACCACTAACACCATTACCACCACACCACCACCACACTACTACTACCACCACTACCACCACTACCACACCACCACCACCACCACCACCACCACCACCACCACCACCACCACCACCACCAAAAAAAATTATGCCACATTTATATTTGTATTTGCCTCTAAACTCTTTACATTACTTCATTTTGTTTTGTGTTTGCGTGTGAGGCTCTGGGTGATGTTGGGGTGTGTTGTGCGGTGGTGGGGGGGAGGAGGTGGGGGAGAGGGAGGGGTTGATGGTGGGAGGGAGGAGAGATGGTTGGGGAGAAAGAGGAGGGTGGAGGGAGAGAGGGAGGGGTGGGGGGGAGGAGATTGGTGGGGGAGAGAAGGAGTGGAGGAGAGAACGGTGGGTGGAGAGAGAGAGAGAGAGAGAGAGAGAGAGAGAGAGAGAGAGAGAGAGAGAGAGATGGTGGAAGGAGTATGTACAGTATGTGTCATGTCCGTGTACGTGCTGTGTACATGAATGTGTGTACTGTGCAGGGGTGGGTGGGGGTAGGGTAGGGGTAGGGGTGGGGTAGGGTAGGGTGGGTGGGGTGAGGGGGTGGGGTGGGTGGGGTGGGGTGGGGTGGGGGGGTGGGGTGGGGGGTGGGGTGGGTGGGTGGGGTTGGGTTGGGTGGGTGGGGTGGGGTTGGGTGGGGTGGGGTGTGTGTTGACTCGTGAGGATGATTAACACAATACAGCCACTTTAGTATAGAAATGAACCGCACTCACAGCCGTACAGGTCGTCCAGGTTCTCCACCATACATATTACTGATCTATATAAACACCTTTAAGTGATCACATGAGGAACAGACACCCCAGCTTAGTTCACCTGATGATTAAACACCCTAACGCTAACCTAACGCTAACCTAACCTAACCTAACCTAACCTAACCTAACCTAACGCTAACCTTACCTAACCTACCTAACCTAACCTAACTACTTAACCTAACCTAACCCTCTCAGATACCGTTAATGTGGTTAAATACCTTCTTCTAATAGGCATAGGTTAAGTTCTTTAAGATAGCATATCGAAGGGGACATACAGTAGGCCTAACCCAGCAAATTCTCGTAGGCCGATGAAAGACATCAACACAAACACAAAAAAGTTCCTCATCTCAAATTACCTTATCCTCGAATCGCCTAATCCTCGAATCACCTAATCCCCAAATCACCTAATCCTCGAATCACCTTAATCCTTGAGTCACATAATCTTCGAATCACCTAATCCTCGAATCACCTAATCCTCAAATCGCCTAATCCTTGAACCACCTAATCCTCAAATCACCTAATCCTCGAATCACCTAATCCTCAAATATCCTAATCCTCGAATCACCTAATCCCAACACTGAGGTAAAATTAACGCGACTTTAATCCACAACTCACGAATTAAAACAAAAACAAAAATGTAAATATACCAAATGGATTAAAACTTCCTGATAAAAAAAAAACATGAAGAGGAGTGACGAAAAAAACTTAAAACAAAACTAAAATAAACGATAAACCAACGAAACCAATAAAGGAATTAAATACAGGAAGACGATGGCGATTGTAGACAAGAAATAAAAATAAAAAATAAATTCGGGAGACAAAAAGAAAACGCGACAATACAATACAACGGTAAACAAGGGAAACTAAAGAAATGAAAATGACGCAGCAAACTGATGGTAAAGGACTGAGGGCACAAAGAGGCGATAGAAGACAACATTTAATGAGGAAATGAGATAAGAGGTGATAAGAGGTGACACAGCAAGCAACAAAAGAGACTGGACCACTTGAAGATCATTACCCCCCCCACCCTCATATAGTGGTTGCCCCTCGTGTACGAGGATGGCCGGCCCTAGGGCCACCTAGGCGTGAAATTGTTTAAGGTGTAGTAGCTGTCGCCAACACAACAACCACACCCTGAGTTAACGAGCTGCCTGACCCAATGTCAAGGAATTGTCCGAGAAAACCGGACAACTTGCCAACTGCACTGGCTAACCATTACCCCGGAATACGATCCGCAAATCGATTAACACCCAGGGCCCCAATTACTGCTGGGTAGACAGAGGCAAATGGCGTAAAGAAACTTGCCCATAGTTTCAGCCTGCCCGGGGATCGAACCTGGATCCGCTAGCTTGCGAGGCGAGTATGCTGACTATTACACCACAAGTCGCCAACACCCACAACCACCCACCTTTACTTTTCACCTGATGATTTAAACACACGCAATGCTAACTGGGGCTGGGTTAGGTTAGGTTGACAACACAACAAAACACTAACATACCCACCATGATAAAACATCCATTACCACAACAAGACGAAAAGAAGGAAAAAAACAGCAAAAAAAATCGTAAAGAAAAAACCCAAACAATTAAAATTACACCCTAAAAAATGAAAGAAAGGAAAGAAATGAAAACAGCAGATAATGTAGTTGACTCGTGGTTTTAAGCAGGATAAAACTACGCCCTCTTCATTCTCCTGACAGACAAACAAACCACGTGATTTTTTTTCCGGTTTCATCTATCGCTTCTTCTGTCAGGCACCGAAATCACAATATTATGCAGCTATGGTGTGTGTGTGTGTGTGTGTGTGTGTGTGTGTGTGTGTGTGTGTGTGTGTGGTTGAGTGACTGTGTGAGACGAGTGTGAGTGAGGAGTGCTTGAGTGACTGTGTGAGACGAGTGTGAGTGAGGAGTGCTTGAGTGACTGTGTGGGCGAGTGTGAGTGAGGAGTGCTTGAGTGACTGTGTGGGCGAGTGTGAGAGAATGTGTGACTTTGGTGTACTCAAAAATAGGTTCACATAAACTAGACATAAAAAATTTAACACTAAATAAATAGTACTTTCCTAATAGTATCAAATAGATTCTACGTACTAGTCACCAACATCTCCTCCTTGTGTTATATAACGTGTAAAAGTCTCTCTCTCTCTCTCTCTCACATCAAAAAATTCCTCCTCATCTTCCCTAAAAATTACAAGAGTCTCTCCCATGTATTAAGTCACCATAGGTCATTTTCTACACCTCTCTATAGTCGAAAATGAACTTCTATGGCCCACGTGTTCCTCCTGCCTACCAACCCCGTCTCCCATATCGATTCATCTGTTATATTACCCTCCACTTGTCACCATCTTCCTCGTCCCTCCTTCCTTCTTTTTTCCCCTCCTCCTCCTACCTTGTGTTCTTCTTTCATGCTTTTGCTAATATCTCTCTCTCTCTCTCTCTCTCTCTCTCTCTCTCTCTCTCTCTCTCTCTCATCATCATCATCATCACCAGACCTAAGCCCATGTAACAAGGCTGTTGACCCTCACCCACCTTCACTCCATATACACAAATTTGGGTGTTTTTATGAACAATGTATTGCTCATGTATATAAGGAATCCATCTCTTTTAATTACCTTCTTTTTTTTTTTAATCGCCATTGATATACTTAACTGAAAAGTGTGTGTGTGTGTGTGTGTGTGTGTGTGTGTGTGTGTGTGTGTGTGTGTGTGTGTGTGTGTGTGTGTGTGTGTGTGTGTGTGTGTGTGTGTGTGTGTGTGTGTGTGTGTGTGGTTTTTGGCGCGTGTGTGTTCTTTTAGCGAGTCATATCTCTGATTCCTCGATCTGGACTTTTACAGATGCGTATCATCGTCAGCCTCTACGGTCATAAAAATGTTATTCAGACTAATAGGGAAAATATTTTGATTGTAAGTAGAACAACTGCACATAAAAACTAGATTGATATATACTGATATATATCTGAGGGAGACGCATCGTACCCCACCCCCTCACCCGCCCCCCTCCTGCCACAACACCTGTGCCTGTCTGTTACCTGTATACCTGTCTCAAGGTTCGACTACCGTCCCCACCTTAATGAGTGTTAGTGTTGCTACTTTACATAAAATCAATAAACATTACAGTGTGTTTACATGTCTTAACGTAATTTAGATTAGATTAGATTAGATTAGGTTAGGTTAGGTTAGGTTAGGTTAAGTTTGGTTAGGTTAAGTTTGGTTAGGTTAAGTTTGGTTAGGTTAGGTTAGGTTAGGTATCTTGTCAGTGTAGTACAGTCTTGAGCGGCAGAATATCACCCTGGGACGAGACACACACACATGTTGTTCAGCAATACACCAAAACCCTTCAATACTTAACGAGACAAGACGCTCTACAGAATATTCGCCAAACACCTCTGATACTACATACCTTGCTTCACGCCCACACCTTGCTTCACGCCCGCACCTTGTTTCACGCCCACACCTTGCTTCACGCCTGCACCTTGCTTCACGCCTGCACCTTGCTTCACGCGCCTGCACCTTGCTTCACGCCCGCACCTTGCTTCAAGCCCCATCTTGCTTCACGCCCACACCTTGCTTCACGCCCACACATTGCTTCACGCCCACGACTTGCTTCACGCCCACGCCTCTAACACACACACATTGTTTCTTAACCTCACATCTGCCCATCTTCCTACCAGACACTGTTAAATCATTGTTCTTCACTACTGTGTGTGTGTGTGTGTGTGTGTGTGTGTGAAATAGTTCTATCATTCCTACTAAAGCTGACGTCCTCCCAGGTCACATTATACTACACCCAGGACACACTGCACTACACCCAGGTCACACTGCACTACACCCAGGTTACACTACACCACACCCAGGTCACACTACACTACACCCAGGTCACACTGCACTACACCCAGGTCATACTGCTCACTACACCCAGGTCACACAGTACTACGCAGGTTACACACTGCACTACACCCAGCTCACACTGCACTACACCCAGGTCACACTACACTACACCCAGGTCACACTGCACTACACCCAGGCCACACTACACTACACCCAGGTCACACTGCACTACACCCGGTCACACTACACTACACCCAGGCTGCACTACTACACCCAGGTTACACTACACCACACCCAGGTCACACTGCACTACACGGATCACTACACCACACCCAGGTCACACTACACCACACCCAGGTCACACTACACCACACCCAGGTCACACTACACCACACCCAGGTCACACTCACTACACATCACAATGATACACATATCCTTAGTAAACATAACAGGTATGAAAAAAATCTAATTTATATACAGATTTACAGGTGACCCAAAGCCTCTGAGTCTCGATACACAGGTGATGGTAGAGGTGGTTAGCTGCTCACCTCACACTAATTAGGTAAAGGTACGTGTAGATTTACCTGTGTTTCAATCAACATCACATAGCCAAGATGACTTCGACCCTCTCTCATACACAGCAGGCGAGATATTGTGGTCGATGTTCTAGTGAATGGCATCTCGTCTCTGTTGGCTACTTCTCGCCCCCGTTGGCTATTTTTCGCTCCAGTTGGCTATTTCTCGCCCCTGTTGGCTACTTCTCGCCCCTGTTAGCTACTTCTAGACCCTGTTGGCTACTTCTAAACCCTGTTGGCTACTTCTAGACCCTGTTGGCTACTTCTCGCCCCTGTTGGCTACCTCGCGCCCTTGTTGGCTACTTCTCGGTCCTGTTGGCTACCTCTCGCTCCTGTTGGCTACCTCTCGCTCCTGTTGACTACCTCTCGCCCCTGTTGTCTATACCTACAGCTTGTGTTGGCTACTTCTTGCTCTCGTTGGCTACTTCTCTCTCCCGTTGGCTACTTCTCGCTCCCGTTGGCTACTTCTGGCTCCAGTTGGCTACTTCTCGCTCCCGTTGGCTACCTCTCGCTCCTGTTTGGCTTATACCTCCAGCTCGTGTTGGCTACCTCTCCCTCCTGTTGGCCACACTAGCAAGGGAGGCGGAATTACCCAATATTCTGATGCCCAGTCTACGAGAACGGACTAACTAGCTCTTATTTTGGTCTTAACCCACGTAAGGTACAGTACGACCCTAGGGACACTTCGTTTACTACCCGGAGAAGCGAGAGCCGTCACTGCCGCCACCCAAATGACTGCCTCGTCAATAAAGTCGGATAAAGATGACCGTGAAATGGCCGGCCGACGCTCTACACCAGCTATTATCCACCATCTCATGCACGCCCAGTTAATAATGACAGCGAGAAGTGTTGAATCCTTGATGCAATTTTGGCCTCTCCCCCTGAGGTAAGTGAGAAGGAGGCAGATAAGGTCTCTCTCACACACACACACTCTCTCACGCACCACCTTCTTCAGTATATAACCTCAGATCACACACACTCTCTCACGCACCACCTTCTTCAGTATATAACCTCAGATCACACACACTCTCTCACGCACCACCTTCTTCAGTATATAACCTCAGATCACACACACTCTCTCACGCACCACCTTCTTCAGTATATAACCTCAGATCACACACACTCTCTCACGCACCTCCTTCTTCAGTATATAACCTCAGATCACACACACTCTCTCACGCACCTCCTTCTTCAGTATATAACCTCAGATCACACACACTCTCTCACGCACCACCTTCTTCAGTATATAACCTCAGATCACACACACTCTCTCACACCTCCTTCTTCAGTATATAACCTCAGATCACATACACTCTCTCCGCACCTCCTTCTTCGGTATACAACCTCAGATCACACACACACTCTCTCACACCCTCCTTCTTCAGTATACAACCTCCAGATCACACACACTCTCTCACGCACCTTCTTCAGTATATAACCTCAGATCACACACACTCTCTCACGCACCACCTTCTTCAGTATATAACCTCAGATCACACACACTCTCTCACGCACCACCTTCTTCAGTATATAACCTCAGATCACACACACTCTCTCACGCACCTCCTTCTTCAGTATATAACCTCAGATCATAATACAGTAGAGTTTATTTTGCCTATAGCTGCCACAACTACTGCTCTTCAAAGCTACTGTGGATCACCTGAAGAATAGACACCCGAGCTTACTTCACCTGGTGATTAAACATCCTAACACTAACCTAACCTAACCTAACCTAACCTAACCTAACCTAACCTAACCTAACCTAACCTAAGTAACCTAAGCTCCCCCAGGTAACGTTAGGGAGTTTAACCATCAAGACCACTGCTTCAAAAGTCCCATGCTGTCGGACAACTTCGTCAGGTGGTTCCTCTCAACTAAACAAAGTCGTCAGTGGTCGTACGTCATGGAAACCCAATATACATCTATCAGTCACTCACCTGTGTAGAGAAGCCCTCATTAAGCTTCTCAAAATACAGGTATATTAGCTTAGGTTAGGTTAGTTTAGTTTAGGCTACTACAGTCGCAAGAGACTGGGGGAGATAAGCATTACCCCAGAAGATGGCCACATGAAGGCCACCCCAAAAGATGGCCACATGAGGATCACCGCAGATGGCCACATAAGGATCACCCCAGAAGATGGCCACACGAAGGCCACCCCAAAAGATGGCCACACGAAGGCCACCCCAGAAGATGGCCACACGAAGATCATCCCAAAATATGGCCAAATAAAGATCGCCCCCAAAAGATGGCCACATGCAGACCACCCCAGAAAATGGCCACACAAAGATCACCCCAGAAAACGGCCACATAAAGATTACCCCAGAAGATGACCACATGAAGGCCACCCCAGGAGATACATTACCCTCCGAAATATTATCTAATTAATATAGGACATAATATAACGAAGTACCTGTATATATCCCTCAAGTTATATAGCGTTAGAACAGGTAATATAACCAACAATAGCCATCACAGGTAACATACTCACATATACCATAACAACCTCATTAAACCACAAGAACTATTAACATAAGTATCATCAACCACAGGTAATTATACATTAATATACCTGAATAACTTAATTAAAGGTAGACTAACGAGCACACTGAGGTGATCCGACAGGTGGTGATCAGCAGCCAAGCAAGAAGGACAGGTAAGTACAACCTTGTTCGTATGTTTTGTAATTATTTTTTTTTTCTTTTGGGGGGGGGGGTTGCCTCTTAAAGAATGTGGTGGTGGTGGTGAATGTGGTGGTGGTGGCCGGACTGCAGATGCCGCCAACGCTAACACATAAAAAGTAGTTTATCGTATTGTGTGTGTGTGTGTGTTGTTACGGTTCACCTATACACATAATTATATAACGTGTTGGGTAACTCTCTCTCTCTCTCTCTCTCTCTCTCTCTCTCTCTCTCTCTCTCTCTCTCTCTCTCTCTCTCTCGCCATAACACAGGTACAGTACACGTTGAATACCTGTGATTACCTTTATATTATTGGTATTTTTTACTTTAGGTGCACAGATGATGTTAAAATTTATCGTTTCATACATACATACATACATACATACATACATACATACATACATACAGACAGACATACAGACACAGACAGACAGATAGACATACATGCATACATTAAATACATCGATACATACGCTACATAAATTCCTCCATACATACATATAAACATACATAAATACTCTATACCGTATATACTGAGCATTCTAAAAACCGTAGAACAAAAATTATCGGTATATAAATTAATAGGCAGACTCCTCAAGCTCACCATACCGTCATTCATTACTACCGAGGTGACACAAATATAGCCTGACACCGTTTAGAGGAGAGTATCAGGGGTACCGTCAGTATATACCGTAAAAGGACACAGATCTGGACCAATTCTTCCATAAACGGTATTAAACACAAACTTCAAAGATTATAAAGGTGTATTTCTTAGTTTCTGCAGTAAACAAGCCTACCAACACAACAGACTGATGCAATTTAGCGCGCCAACAAGTCTACCAACCAAACGAGGATCCCCTTCTCCTCGAGTCAGGGCGCGGGAAAGAGTCTGGGGAGAACGCGCTTCAAGATGATCGGGAACGTGTCTGATTGGCTGGCGACTGTCTCCACCTGGACCAATCAATAACCAATATCTGTCTCATTAACACGCCCCCATGTCTCAAGCATCAACCTGAAAATTATATTTGCTGCTTTAGATTTTACACGAGGGGGTGACAACAATGACGATAAAATTATACCCGGCTGCAGGATGTGTGTTTATTTGATTGAAATGTCAGGCTGGGGAATAGGAACGAGTCCTGTTTTGTGGGATTAAAATTTACATCAGAGAGCAGTGAAGGCGCGGGTGTCATCTTCCGGGGCCCAGTATAATTACCCCCTTAAATACTATAGGAAGATAAGGTTCACGGTCGACCAACGCCTCAAGAAACACAGCATGCGGGATCATTAGAGCAATTACAGGAGCCACATTTACGAAACAAGAGGAGGGGAGGGAGGGGGGGGAGAAAAACGGAATCAGTAATCCTGGAGGCGAGGCTGGCGAGCGTCTTCTGCAGGAGTGACGTCAGGAAACAGTTGACTAGCCAGAAGCGCCTCAGCCAACCGGTCCTCCCTATACCAGCG